AATGTGCAGTGCCACCTACTGGAAACACAGGAAACGATGGCTCTGCTTCTTGGCTTTTAAAAAAAAATGTCAATGTTTTCCTCTCTTTCTTTCATTTTCTTTAGAAAATACAGCATCATAACTGCGCTGGAGCAGCGGCAGAAGTATAATGAGGACTTCTGCGCCGAGTACGATGAATACAGAGCTCTTCATGACCGGATTGGGGCTATAACAGAGATGTTTGTTCAGTTGGGCTCAAAGATCAACACTCTCTCTCCAGGAACACAAGAGTACAAGGTACTGTCCGGTTTTGGAGGCTACTCTAGCTGCTCCGTTTCTTGTAAATCACCACAATAGAAAACAGATCAGATCATATGGCACACTAACACCTTTTCTTATATTTGCTTTTTCAGCTTATGGAGGAACAAATACTACAGAAGTATCGCAAGTACAAAAAAGTAAGACTTATTGCTGTTTTTTTATCTAAACACTTTTATTCAGTGGTGTGCAAGAACCACAAAAACATATTCTGGTTTTAAAAGAGTTATCTCAAGACATCATCTAAGATATGTTAGCCACGTTATCTTCATATCAAACCATTCCTTTTGTTTATTGCTGATATGCATCGATGGCTCTTTTTAAAAATTCTTTATCTACTGATAATCAGAGATAAGCAAAGATAAGCATCTTCTCATAAAATCAGGTTGAAGCCAACAACATCTAACTGGACTCTCTTCCTCTTTCTTTCAGAAGTTTCCTGGGTATCGGGAAGAGAAAAAGCGATGCGAGTACCTCCATAAGAAACTGTCGCATATCAAAGGCCTGATCACAGAATACGACAGAGCGCAGGGACTCTCGTAGTGATCGGCCTCGGCCCTTCGGCAGGGTGTAATACGACTGGACCAAAAGACTCCTAACGGACCCAAAGACTGCCCGGATGGGTCCTGAAGCCGCTGAGACACTATTCACTTTACTCCTTGGTCTTGATGTAATCGAGGAGCGAGGTTCTTTTTTTCTTTTTCTTTTTTTCCCCAAAAAGCGGGCTGAGACCACGGACTCATGATCCGATGTTACCCTTCGACACCATCTGGTTTACAGCTGTGATTGCCGCTGGATTCTTTCTGCTGTAAAACGTGACACGGTGAAAGCCAATGGGTGTGATCATTCCAGCCTAAAAACTCTCCTTTATCCCATCTGAACTAAAAAAAAACCTTAAAAAAAGTGTTGATTTTTAAGTATTAAAAGTGATGGTACAATCAGTCCTAGAGGGGAAACAAATGCTACTAAAGTCTTTATATTTAAAAATAGAGAAATTTATGCGCTTTTTGCTGATAGAAAGTCAAATGATGATTGATCAGTCAATGATCAGATCCCATATTGACAGCGATAGGACCGTGCCATGAACAGTTTCTCTCTTTAGACTAGATCATAATTTACTAATTAATTTATATTTCATTACGACGAGACAACAACAACACAAGACACCTTTTCTGCAGGATTGAGACCCTGAAAAGTCGATTTCTCTTTAAAATCTGCTTCTTTAGGCTTTTTCAATGATGGATTTTGTCGTGTAGCTTTCTGCTAGCGTCCTGTTTCATTTCTGAGAAATGTTGAAATGCCACAAAACGACTCCTCGCAGTGCTATAACGCTGGTTTTTTGAGAAAGTGCTTGTGCACAGTTTCTGTCACTTTCACCCACATGTAGCCTACAGTACCAAGAACTGCCTTTTAGTGTCTAGTGAGGAAAAAAACAACTATTGATTCAGAAATCTCTCCCAATTTATTTTGTGACAGGTTTACTGACATACATGAGCATGCTGTGTTTACACCTTGGTTATTTAAAAAAAAAAATGGGGTGAGAACATAATTCACTTGAGTGGGTGTTACATTTTGATATTATTCTGCTGAATGCGACAGCAAAGCCTTTATAAATTTTTACTGTGTAATTGTTAGCCCCACAGGGAGTATGGCACTGTAGGTCGCTCACTAAGTTCAAACCACTCTGGTTCGGCTGCGTGTAAGGAGCAGACTGACCTCTAGTGGCTGCTGGCGAGACTTTTAGATGTTTTCATTTAACCACCACCTGCCATTTTATTTCACCTGAATTAGCCTAAAGTGCAAATAAGCAGATCAGATTTCAGTATTCTCTGGACATTTGCATCAGTGTAGCTATACTAACAACAGTTGTCTTAAAGGTGGCTAAAAATGATAGAATGAAGCCAATATTTGCCTTGACATGTACATTATGTCTGACATTTCCACAATCCTGGTACCCCAGTTCTGAAATTGTCTCTGCTTAACCAGCTCAGACTGTTTCTGTAAATGTCTTTTTAGTTTGAAGGATAGCTCAGTTACTGGATAGGTGTTGTGCAGCAGTTGTCTTATCTGTGTTGTTTTTGTATTTTTAGCTTCATTTGTCGTTTCGTTATCTGTCAGATAATCACGTCCAATCCTAGCAAGCACCACTATCAGGAGGAATATTTGCAGAAATCATTGCAAAACCAAGGTCCTCTCGATTCTGTCAGTGCAAATAGACGGTGGGGTCTTTTTGCTATTTTGCAATCATCACTTTTTTGTTTCTTTTTAATTCATTCAGTACTCTGATATATTTGAAGGATTTTAGACTAGTAACATTTCCTCTGTCTCGGCACATATGAAAGTTTCCAAGAAAGATACATTTATCTGCACTGATGATTGGGGAAGGGGAAAATTGTAAGCCCAGGAAGCAGCAGCTTTGAACATTCAGTATTACCAGAACTAGATTCCTTAAGCCCCAGTACACAGAAAAGGGATCTTTTAGTTAATGTGCCTGGTTGGTTATCTTCTCAGGACCAGATCTCTTTAAGATTTACTGGTTTGAGCAACCAAGCAAATACGCGATAAACACCCGTAGCATTTGTGCTGGTACTAGAAAAAAGCAGCAGATGCTTCAGTGGTAATAAAGCACAAGGGGCTCTTAAAAATACAAAACAGTTTATTTGTATTTGGCACAAGAAAGGTACTAAAATGTTTCTACTGTTGGCAGGATGGAGCACCAGCTAGATCACGAGAGTTTAAAGTCGCAATTTAACTATTTCTATTAAATGAAGGGCTTCACACTTACAAATAAGAACCTTTTACAATGATCAAATAAACCGTAGAAGAGGTGAAACTTCCTGGGCAAAATCACAGTATCATGAAGATAAATGTTCCATTTGTTTAAATGTGTTTTTGGCAAACCACACCTTTGATATTTTTTAAGGTGCTTTTCAAGTGCTGTCTGTTTTTTGTACTGTCACAGTAGCTAACTACTAAAGGTGCCTTTCATTCAAAGAGCAGAGTGATTCTACATATAACCATCATCGGTATTCTGGAAAAAGGACACTTGGGGCTGCAGTATTTATAAATTTGTAGTTTAACACTGTGCCACTTTTCAAAGTGCTTTTTTCATCTTTTTTTTTTTTGATAAAGTTAATCTCAGATGCCTTTTGAAATGCGTAACTATTCCAGTTAGGACAAGCTGGATTTTTCCAAAATTATAGAAGCTGCTTGATATTTGCTCACATGTGCATTTGAAAGAACAGCCTGGACTTTTATGTTTCGGTTTTGATTCCAACCTGGCAACCCACTTCCACATATTATTTGGTACTGGCAAAAAAAAGCCATGATAAAATGTGAAATGACCCTTTTTTCTTCTTCTTCTTTTAGAAATCACTGCATTTGATCTAGCTAGGAGAGCAAATGTATTTATTATGTTGTGTTTGTTCTTTTATTGAATTCATCTCTGCATAGTTTGTTCATTCTTTACACAGCAAAACCCAAGTACGATGAAAGGGAAACAGGATATATTTTTGCAATTTTTGATTGTGGGTGCGTTATCATGTCATCCTCTTGAGAAAAGCTTTCAAGAAAAATGTGTATTGTCTCGGTGAAATTGAAAAATAAAGGTCTTTTCAATTCAACAGTGCGTCATACTTCCTCAAGAGGGCAGTATTGCTCCATTTTTGAACAGTTTTTAAAGCGTCTGCTTTAAAATAAAAGCAGCACTGGGTTAGACGTATGTCTGTGAAGGTTGCAGTCATCCAGGTCATTGTAGTCTAAGGAGCTTGGAAAGAAAAGCGTCTGGACTTCTCTAAGTTTCTTGAAGCCGTTCCATTTCTCATCCGAGAAGCTTCTTCAGTTCTAAGAGCAACTGTTGTAGAGTCCCAGATTTTAAGCCCTATTGATCCCCTACCTAATCACAGGAGCCAAGGTGTGAAAACGGGTGTAGGTCACAATCAGCCAAGGTTTCTGATGAACCCATAGTGAAACCTAGCCCCACCCTATCATGTGATATACTGATGTGAGTGGGCGTTAAGGCGTCTGGGAAGGGATCTCAAAACAGGATTATAGATGGCAGACAGTTGGTGTGTAAATCACCACCTCTGTTCAAAGATGGCCGTTCACAGTGGACATAGATGGCTTATTTCACTCCTCTTTCAAACCATCTGTCTTCTCTGTCCAAAATGTGAACATTGGCATCCAGGAAAGAGTGACGTTTGTCCTTTAGATGCAGATGAACAGCTGAGTCTTGTCCCGTTGAGATGGCTCTTCTTTGCTGTGCCACGCGTACACCAGTTGCTCTTAGAACTGAATAAGCTTCTCGGATTACAGGTTAAACGTCTTCAAGAAACTTAAAAAAGTCCAGACGCTTTTCTTTCCAAGCTCCTTAGAATAGTGGGTTAGACGTACTTTTGCCTTCGGAGCTGCCTGGCATGTTATTTTACAAGTAGTCATCAGAGTACACTGTGGTTGTAGGTTACACCACCAGCCTCATTAATACAGGATGAATCCATGTGTTTTTATTATTTATGCAAACTCTGACCCTGCATCTGAATGTTTGATATATATATTTATACACCACTCTACATTTAATCATTAGTTATATTATTAATCCTTTGTTCTCTTCCACATGGCGTCTTTGTGCCCAGGTTTCTGGTAGGTGAGGTTTCTTCCTGTTAAAGGGTTTTTTTTTTATGTCCCATTGTCACTAAAGTGTTTGCTCATGGTTCAGATTGTTGGTGTTTCTTCTGTGTTATTTAGGGTCTTTACCCTACAGTATAAAGTGCCTCAAGGCCTTGAACTGAACTGAATTGACAAATCTGGACTCAAACACAGCGTTTTCCAGAATAATTTTGCCCAATTCTATTGTGACTGTGTGAACTGGAGCCTTAGTTTCTTGTTCTTAGCTGACAGGAGTTACACCTGGTGTGTTTTCCTGCTGCTGTAGCCCATCTTAAATGCTAAAAGGGTCTATGTGTTGTACATTGGGAGAGACAATTTTTGGTTTTAACAAGTGGTTATTTGAGTTAACATTGCCATCCTATCAGCACAATGCAGTCTGGACATCCCCCTCGTCTCTGGCACCAAGTGGGATTTTCCCCAGAGAACTGCATCATTGGATATTTACTTCACATCATTTTGTTGGAGCTAATCACTCCTGTATTTGACTCTGTGAACAACAGATATAGAAGCACAAGGCTATGACAGAATCAAAGAGTGCCACTCTTAGATCACCTTTCTTCTCCATTCTAATGGTCAGTTTCAACTTGTACAGTTCGTCTTGACCACGTCTACACAACTAAACGCATTGAGTTAGACATTTGCGTTAAAGAGAAGTTTAACACGTCTAGTTAACAAAGTGACCGGTGAGTTTCTGTGTCTCGAGTATTCAATTCACAGATATGTTCTTATTAGAATGTTTAAAAGGTGACTCTCTCTATAATACAAACATTGTTGCATAGTTTTATTCATTTTTCAAACACACCCACCTTCTATTCGTAACATACATCCTATAAATTACTCACGTTCAGCCAACGGCAGAAGAAAAAAACCCAAAGAAAATCTCTGAAACTGGTGCTGCAAGTTTTGCCTCATTTTAAGTACAAAGCAGAGTTTAGAAAAAGAAAAACAGTGAACTTAGAAGTGACAGAGTAAGTTTTTTTCTTTTTCATAACCACTAAGTAGCCCTTATTTTCTACTACAGTGTAAAACAGCTGGTGTTGTGCAAGACTGGAATACAAAAGTACCTGTCATTGGATGTTCTAAAGTACAACAAATAGACAAAGTTTCTATATCGACTCGATTTGCTCCCTTTCAAAATTAATTCCAGATATTGTGCAAAACAGAGAAATCCAGTAATTCTAAAAGAGTGCAACTCCATTAGTTATTACTGACTCAGGGATTGTAAAATGTGCTGGTTTTGTTTTTAACCTCTGTCCACCATTACAGTTCCAGCGACCTCTTGAACGCACCTGACGTGATTAACTCTTTGATCTGTAATCGCTTTGTAATATTTAACTTTGCCCGTGTCATCACGGTGCAATCCTTAGCCTGGGCTGTGTGAGGGTGACAATCCCAATCAGCGATGATATCAGACCACAGAATCCGATCACTCCCCCATTTGACTGGTATAAACCAAGCTTATCTAAGGGAATGAAGAGATCACAGATGTTTTTCACAGAGTCCAAGGCAAGGTCCGGGTGTGATTTCAGGGCTTCCAAAAGCAGAAAGAGAAAGCCATCCAGGTGAGGGACGACAACTTCAGCTACTTCAGGATTCTCAGTGAGATGCTGATCCATTCTCTGTTTAAAGTTTTTATCTCTTGACCTCTTTGTCATCACCTGGAGAACTGCATAAACATCTCTGCTGAGATGCATAACTAATGAGAAGAAGTAGAAGCGGAAGGAGTTTAAACTCCAGCGTTCCTTGTCGATATTGCGGATAAGACCAACACTTTTGGCCCAAAGTACATTGTCACAGATAAAGTAGAGGGTGCGGCTCACGTTGGCCACAGTAAGGCACAGGCGCAGCACTCGGTCCGAGAGCTGCACGGTTCGCTTAGCAGCCTCAATGGAATTTGCTGCATTTCCCAGCCTGAGCACTGACAAAGGAGGAGGACATGAAAGGGTATTAGAGCAGTAATCAATTTAATATGAAATGGCAGGTCAACACTTCATTATAGCAGCCCACAACAGATGGAAATACAGTTAAGGTACACAGAGGATTAACTACAGCATCTTTTCACTATTTGCCTATCTGTGTTTACATACTGGAACAACATCAATTCACCCCAGTCTCTTCATTTTAAACTTTTGAACCTTTCACAACACGTTATCACATTTTAAATTGGGAGTCATAAATGACCCTTCACCCAGAAACACAAAGACAGGCAGGCCAGCCCTAGAGGCAGCAGAGTTCCTTAAAGAGATCATTAGTTGGTGCACAAACAGATCTTGGCCTTGGCCTTAACACAGCTCAGCTGCGGCATAACAAAAGAAGCTGCTCTAAGGCACAGCCATATCCTTAATTTCCATGCAAAGCCTGTTTCATTTCAGTCTTTTCCTAATTCATACTAAAGCTACCAAATGTCAAGGTACAAAATTTGTCAAATTCCACATGAATTCTAAAATAAGCACATCTATGAGTGGTACGTTTATCAGAATTACCGTCATTTGCAGCAACAGTCGGTGCAGATTTTATCCCAGCTTACAGTGAGATAAAGAGAAAGCTACAGAACAACACTGTCTAAGTTTTAAGTAGACAGTTTGCCAAGAAAAGAAAAAAAATTGTCCATTTGTGCACTCCTTGGCAGAATTACTGGCCTTGATGATGAAGAAATACAGTGCTCATAGACAAACTCAACAGAGAGACAAGATTCAAGTCATTTGTTAACCAAATGTATGATGCGTTTGTTTAGTTTGAATAACTGTATTTCTGTCTGATGGTCAAAAATAAAACAAGCTCTTTGAATTCATCACAGTTTTTAGAACCACCCATGTTCACAGAAACCAATGCAATAAATTAGGACAACCACACAGTGGATTTGAAACTGAAATCCAATTTAACCGCAGCCACTGAACGCCTCCTAACTCCCTCAACAGTTACTCACATTTTCGTCCAGCGCTCAAGCTGGTTTCCAGACTTTTAAGTTTTGCCACAAGGTCCTTTCTGTCCGAGTTGTTTCGAAGTAAATAAACAACGAGTGAACAAGCATACTGAGCTGCCCTAAAATAAACAAGAAGCAGATGAAGGGGGGAAAGTTAGAAGGATACAGTCATGCGGTAACTTTCCCGTTTTTATCAAGAAAATAAAGTAACGTTTGTACGAGCTGGTTACAAAAGCGATGAAAAGCTCACCTGAATATGCGGTCCCTTCCCTGACTCTGACTTGTGAATTTTACAAATGGGTCCATGCTGTTAAACCACACCAGTACAGGTTGTTCTAGTTAGCTTGAGCCAAGTTTCCACCTCGTCGAACCTGTTAACATTAATTTGTCGCTACAGTCGGCACGGCATCAGTCACTTTTCTTCTGCTTACACAATGCCAGGCTGATATAACGCCGATGAGTAAAACTCGTTATCAAGTATTTATCAGGTAATCTTGATTTTCAAACTTTATCCATACCCCACGTTTACAATTAACCAATCTCCTTTTCCTGCAGTCAAACTATTGCAACCGAAAAACACCTATTTGTTTCACTACGGATGGTTTTAGAAACGGACCAAGAGCCGAACTGATTTTCTGGACGGACCAATGCGTTACTATCAGTTACTATGGTAACAGTGAAACCCAAAGAATGAAAAATAAAGACTAAAAGAAATTGTAATAAATTGAAGGGTTTTGTTACCGTATGTCAATAAAAATACCAACAATTTAAAACTAAAACGGTCCTTTACGATTTGCTTTTAGTTAAATTTAATAAATACGCAATAAACAATGTAAGAAATGTAAAAAAATAATAATACAAATGTAATAAATAAATACATAAATAAAGCGGGGAATAAAAACCTACATTACACACAATAGAAAGTCTCAAACAAACTAATTTATTAATTAAAAAAATAATCTTTCAGTTTGCATGGTTGAATACATTTCATTTTTTTTAACACAGATCCAGGTAGATTTAACTAGTCATTTGAAAAACTGAGTTACAAAAAAGCAGTTAAAATACAAAAAAACTATATATTATTTCTAAGAGATTTTTTTCCTCTTATTGATGTGCAGCAAATGTTTCTTATGCAGAAATACACATGAGTATCCACATCACTGCTGTAGCACTGACAAAAGGTCAGCCAAAGGCAAAAGGGATATTGCAAAATTCTAGCTTCCAAGTGCATAACCAGGGAATTTAAAAAAGCAAAATTAAGTGAAGTTACAGCAATCCTGAGTGCAAACAGAATAAATACAGACAGACAATTTATCAGTGTTCACAAACATTTTAATGTTACAGCTGGTCAAGCTAGAGCATGTAAGTGATTCTGTGACACTGCAGCCTTTTTTATTAGATTAATATTCTTTGATCATAAACCTAAGAAATGCTGGAGTAGTGTCTCACACTTTGAAAAGACACATCATGACTTTGAGAGAGCCCTTACCTTCAGGTAACGATATAACCTTGAAACTGCTCTTAAATACTTGCCATCATACTAATGGAGAGTGGAATTATTTTTTGCCTCTGCTGTGCAACTGTTTACAGCATTTATTTATTTTTAATCTCTCTAGTTTGACAGCATGTTGACTGTTGGTGAGGTGCTGAATAATTACACTCTGCCTCTCTGGTGTGTGTGTATGTGTGTGTCTGTCTGCTTGGCTCTGTTATGTATTCAGTAATGTAAGCTCTGATGGTATTAGTGGTTTTGATTGCTTGCGGCATATGCCCTCCTCTTTGTTCAGCAGAGGGATACCCATCAGATGAGATCAAGAAAATATGAACATATATTTCTGTAAAAGTATTTCAGTGAAGTCCCAGAGAACTAAAAAGTAAATCTCTGTTTATTGGCAAAGAAGCAGCTCTGTGATCTGTTGTTTCAGTTTTTCATTTTGTAATTTTTGGGAAAAAATTAATATATTTATACTTAAAAGTAGCCTTTATTTTGCACCAGACTTCTCCTGGCTCCCTAGTGTGTATGCCAAAGTGCCCTTGGGGAAGATACTGAACCCCAAGTTGTCCCTGATGCATCCATTGGAGTGAGTGTGAATGTTAGGTAAAGTGGTTAGACACAGAATAAAGCACTTGTGTTAATGAAGCTTGTAGTAAGAAAGTGCTTTGCATGCTCAACTTGACTAGAAAAGTGCTGTGGAAAAGTGTGTTGTTGTTGTGTTGGGGTTTTTTTTGGCATATATGTTAAACTTGCATGTTTTAGATTATAAAATGAGTTAGTTCCATACACAATAGATATATATTAACGTTTTTTTTAAATGCATGGAAATCAGTGTGGACAGCCAAACTGTCAACTATGATAGTCAGATTCCAAAATTGCACAGCTACAGTATATTAATTCAAAAGCAGTTCACATTGCCTTGTCCCAGACGGTGAGCTCAGCTTTCTGGGTGAACATGAAGACAACTATATCCACCAAAAACTGAATACTTGAAATGAACCATAGACTGTATATAAATGATGGATGCAAAAATAAATAAAGTCGCCCACTGGTTTGTGACGCCTTAAAGTTTGCTTTTTTGACTATCACTGTGTTAATTTTGTGAAGCGATCATGTTTGGATGACAGGATAGGCCGCTATGTTAAAAGTTAGCTATTGTAAGCTGCAGTGTTAGACGGCGATACGCATATGTGGTAATTAGTGCTAAATAACAACCTAATAAAAATACTAGAATTTCACACATCAATACTTAAGCACACACTTCTAAGACAGGCCATTAAAAAAAGGGTGAAAAATGCAACAACGGCACAAACTTGGTGGAGAAGTTCAGTTCAGTGACTCCAATTAGTGAATGCAAGCCACAGCATACACAGTATCCACATGGATAACTTTTAAAAACTTAACCCTCCACAGTTACTATGGAAAAAGCACGGAGCCCAAAATAGTTTTCATTAATCGACTGTAAATATTCTTTTAAATGCTGTAAAGTTGGTATTTTTATTTTGTAGTCTGCTGATTCATATAGCCAACTTCAAGTGGCCGCTGGAGGAAGTACAGTTAGTAATCAACTTGATCCTTACAGACTGAGTGAAGCAGGCAGCACACACTGTAAAGGAAACAGAGGTAAAACAAAGCAGCTTTAGAGATTCAGCATCCACTAACTCGAATCCCCAACACCTGAAACTGTCTGGATGGGCAAACAACTGACAGATTTATTAAGATATTATTAAATTTGAAGGTGCATAAAATTCAAAGATGGGATTATGCTTGCGACATCTTAACAGAATATTGAAGTAATATTGTAGGGTGCTGAACTATTACCACCAGTGTCAAGGCGTTGTCCACAGCCAGTATGTAAATTAGAGTATAAGCTTTCTGAAAGCCCACCTTTGAATTCCACTGCTGTGAAAGTGCACGAAAATCAGAGTCGGATGCGGGATTTCAGATCTCCTCAGCTCTTTGTAGAGAAGGTCACTTTGTACTGCAAATATCAACTGGACTTATTTGCATGGACATGAAGCTGCATGGCGGTCTGAGGCTGTATAATTAACAACGAAATCTTTTTAATGTGTGACCCTTTTCACCCCCCATCCTGTATGTCCTAAAATAATATTTTTATTGAATGAATATATATATATATATATATATATATATATATATATATATATATATATATATATATATATATATATATATATATGCCTCTGACAGGTTCACGCTACTGGCTAAAGAAGCTGACTGCACTCCACGAGCGTCTGGCAGCACAAATGAACCAGCTGCTAGTTAACGAGAGACACCCGGAATGGCTAACCGAAGGTCGGACGGTCCTGATCCCCAAGGACCCCAAGAAGGGACCGGTCCCCTCCAACTACCGACCAATAACCTGCCTCAGTACTACATGGAAGCTCCTGTCAGGCATCATATCGGCTAAGATGAACAGGCACATGGGTCAATACATGAGCGGGACACAGAAAGGAATTGGCAAGAATACCAGAGGCGCAAAACACCAGCTACTGGTAGACAGAACAGTCAGCCGAGACTGCAAGACCAGACTGACCAACCTGTGCACTGCCTGGATTGATTACAAGAAGGCCTATGACTCAATGCCCCACAGCTGGATACTGGAATGCCTAGAATTGTACAAGATCAATGGGACCCTAAGAGCCTTCATCAGGAACTCAATGGGGATGTGGCGTACAACACTAGAGGCCAACTCCAAGCCCATAGCACAAGTCACCATCAAGTGCGGGATCTACCAAGGAGATGCTCTGTCCCCACTGCTGTTCTGCATAGGCCTGAACCCCCTCAGTGAGATCATTAACAAGACTGGCTACGGATACCGACTACGGAACGGAGCAGTTGTCAGCCACCTCCTGTACATGGATGACATCAAGCTGTATGCCAAGAGTGAACGAGACATCGATTCACTGATCCACACTACCAGGCTATACAGCAATGACATTGGAATGTCGTTCGGACTGGAGAAGTGTAGTCGGATGGTAACAAAGAGAGGGAAGGTAGTCAGAACTGAGGGGATTGAACTACCAGAAGGCAACATTGCAGACATAGAGGACAGTTACAAGTACCTGGGGATCCCGCAGGCAAATGGGAACCATGAAGAGGCCGCTAGAAAGGCTGCAACCACCAAGTACCTGCAGAGGGTCAGGCAAGTCCTGAGGAGTCAGCTGAATGGTAAGAACAAGATCCGGGCCATCAACACGTACGCCCTGCCCGTGATCAGGTACCCTGCTGGGGTAATAGGCTGGCCAAAGGAGGAGATAGAAGCCACTGACATAAAGACAAGAAAGCTCCTTACCATGCATGGAGGGTTTCACCCCAAGTCCAGCACCCTGAGGCTGTACGCTAAGCGGAAGGAAGGGGGCCGGGGACTGGTGAGTGTCAGCACCACAGTCCAGGATGAGACAACGAACATCCAAGAATACATTGGGAAGATGGCCCCAACTGACCGAGTGCTCAGTGAATACCTCAGGCAGCAGAAACCCAAGAAAGAGGAGGGAGACGAGGAACCATCATGGAAGGACAGGCCCCTGCACGGTATGTACCACCGGCAGATAGAGGAGGTGGCTGATATCCAGAAATCCTACCAGTGGCTGGACAAAGCTGGACTGAAAGACAGCACAGAGGCACTAATCATGGCAGCACAAGAACAAGCTCTGAGTACAAGATCCATAGAGGCTGGGGTCTATCACACCAGGCAAGACCCCAGGTGCAGGCTGTGTAAAGATGCCCCAGAGACAATCCAGCACATAACAGCAGGGTGCAAGATGCTAGCAGGCAAGGCATACATGGAACGCCATAACCAAGTGGCCGGCATAGTGTACAGGAACATCTGTGCCGAGTATAACCTGGAAGTCCCGAGGTCAAAATGGGAGATGCCCCCAAGGGTGGTGGAGAATGACCGAGCTAAGATCCTGTGGGACTTCCAGATACAGACGGACAAAATGGTGGTGGCTAACCAACCGGACATAGTGGTGGTAGACAAACAGAAGAAGACGGCCGTAGTGATCGATGTAGCGGTTCCGAATGACAGCAATATCAGGAAGAAGGAACACGAGAAGCTGGAGAAATACCAAGGGCTCAGAGAAGAGCTCGAGAGGATGTGGAGGGTGAAGGTAACGGTGGTCCCCGTGGTAATCGGAGCACTAGGTGCGGTGACTCCCAAGCTAGGCGAGTGGCTCCAGCAGATCCCGGGAATAACATCGGAGATCTCTGTCCAGAAGAGCGCAGTCCTGGGAACAGCTAAGATACTGCGCAGGACCCTCAAGCTCCCAGGCCTCTGGTAGAGGACCCGAGCTTGAAGGATAAACCGCCCGCAGGGGTGTGCTGGGTGTTTTTATATCAGTGGGAAAGAATCTATACTGATATGCTGATTGAGTAACGTGTTAGGAATGAGAGGATTCCACATCGTTTGATGGAAATGGAAATTATAAACCTACAGAGGTTTGAATTCAAAGAAACCCTGAAAATCAAAGTAAAAAAATGTTGCAGGCTTGTACATTTTACTGATTTTATTGCAGCAACTCAGTAGTTTGTATGATTCCAACATGCCTGACAACATCTGGGGCCGCTCATAATGAGATGACGGATGGTGTCCTGGGTGATTGCCTCCCCGTTTTGGAGCTGGGCATCACTGAACCACATTTTTGAGAGATTGAGGTGCAACCTGGTGGCATCTTATGGACTGAGACATGATGTCCCAGAGATGTCATATAGAATTTAGGTCGTGTTGGGGCCAGTCAATGGTATCAGTTCCTCCATCCTCCAGGAACTGCCTGCGTACTCTAACCACATGAGGCCGGGCATTGTCATGCACCAGGAATCAAGGACCCACTGCACAGGCGTAGCATCTGACTATGGGTCCAAGGTTTTAATCTTGATACCTAATGGATATCAGGGTGCCATTGCCTAGCCTGCAGAGGTCTGTGGATATCCCTCCAAAGACCATCACCGACCCACCACCAAACTGGTCATGCTGAATGATGTTACAGGTAGAGTAGCACTTTCCACAGCTTCTCCAGATGTTTCACGTCTGCTTGTGTCAGATGCAGTAAATTATATTGTATTCTGGTAATTAAACAAAACAAATGATTGGAAATATAACTGATGTCATGCTCCTACCACACACATCAGTAATTACTGCACCTTTTTATAGACAAAATGCTGAAGCTCTAAAAAACAAAGACTTCTGACTGTATGTGCGTAGATCACTTCCCCGGTGTAGCTTTCTCTGTGGAAGTTATTTAAAACGTTGGTTGCTTTGATGCCATTAATTAGTGAGTGGTCTGTTTACAAGTATGTATCATCTTTTTCTCCTTCTTGACTACCATTATTTTTAATTTAACTAATACAGGAATCATGCTGTGTTTCTATTCAGTGAGTGCTTTTTCAAACATGCACACATTTAATTTCGCCCCGACATGTTTATGTGCCATAAAAGTACTCTCAGTTTTCCTCAGTGTACCTTAAAATATTTTTTAACAAGCATACAGCCAATCCCTGTTCGATTTATTGTTTTTTGTTTAAAATATACTTAGTTTCATCCCAAGGGACGCAAAACAAGGAAGTAACAACACATGAGAATATCTACATTGAGGCGATCTTAACTGGGTTAAGATGAACTTTTTCTGTGAATCCAAGTTTTTTATGTGTAAGAAGAAAAACAATCAATAGACCAGATCAACAACAAAAGCACAACACATTTTCTAAGTGTGGTGCACTTATAGCCCTGCCATGCACACAGAGGCATAAAGGTATAAAGGGATATGAAAACAATTTTTAAAGCGTCAGTGATGAGAGCAGGTCGGATACAGTGTGGGTGAGTCTTCTGAGATTAAAGGGCTACGACCTCAAACATGCAACATCTCCCTGGAACAGCTAAAGGGTTTATTTTAGATGAGTTGAGGGGATATGGGGTTGAGCATGAGCGTAGGAGTTTAGAGATCCGAGTAGGAGACAGCCCATTCAAAGCAAGCAGCAGAAACGTAAAGACGATGTCTGGGCTCATATACAGCCACAAGCCAACCGACTTTCTTTCTGAGCTGTGCAAAGTTTAACTTATGGAGTTTCTGAGACAGAGATTTGTCTGTGGGCCCCTTCTTTCTGAATAATTCATTTGAAAACCACTTTTATTACTTGCTGTGTATGAAGTAGTAATTTATGACACAACCATGAATGCACCATGTCTGTATTTGACAGGTTTCAAAAATGGCCTCAGTAACTGATTTTCTAAAAACACTGCAGTTAATTGCACTTTATACTAATATGTCATTAACACCATATAACAACTCACTGTAGTTATTTATTTTTATTTAATAAACCTAATGTCACCAATTAGGACTAAATGATTTTCTTTCACAAAAAAGGCTCAACAATATTCGTTGTCATTCAGCTCATGAATCCTGATAAATCACCACAGGCACACGTAGGAGGAGCAGAGTTAAAGAGAGCGAGAGCAGTCTCACATGCAGGGATCAGACACGGCGCGAGGTCCAAAATCCAAGTGTTGCTAAACAAAGCAAAGGTAGGTCAGGCACAAAAATGTAGATAAGGAGCAGGAAAAACGACAGAGTCCATGAACCATCCAGAGATCCAAAGAACCAAACAATGCGTAAAGACTAACGACGCATAAAAAAACAGGGGCAGAGATCAGACACGTGAAACAAAGAGGAATGACACAAGGAGTGTGGAGATGCTCCACTGCTTTGAGGATAAAGACAGTCTGGCACGTGAGATGAATTAGAAGCAACAGCAGGAGGAACTGAAATACAAAAATGCATTTAAACTCTTTCAAAAGAAGAATATAAGAGATAAAATATTGAAAATATTAAAAACACACAAATCATCACAAACAATAGTCAGTATATTAACTGAAAATTGGCATAATTGATTAAAGGTTAATCTATGACTTGGAAAAACAGACACTTGCTTATCCCTTTTAGGTAGTCGAGCAATTGACAATTGTCGAGCAATTCTTTTTTTTTTTTTTAAAGACAAATCTAAACATGTAGAATAAGTTCAGGAACTGATTTTGAAGGATCAGCTGACTACAAGAAACATTCACAACGTAGCCACAACTCAGGCAGTGGACCAGGTTGTCCACTAATCACAGGGCTGCTGGTGCCTTTCTCCTGCTATCAGGAGAACTCTGAGGTACTTCTGACAGAAAGCAAGCATCATGCGTGGCATTGTCGTGTAAGTGTGTAGATGTGGTTGGATGTGAAACATAATCTAAAATGCTTTGTATTACTGCAAAGGTCAAAAAAGCGCTTTATAAGTGCAGACCAGTTATATGCAGGTCTTATCCTGATGCTTTTCAGCCAAGCATCCTTATCCTAGTAGTGGACTCATCTCATGTTAAATATAAATAAATAAATAAGTAATCCTGCTCCTTCCTTCTGGTCAGTATTGAAAGAGAAGTCAGAACCTACAGGTTTGAAGTCAGCTAGTATTAAAAGGACAGCCTTTGTATGGAGTATTTATGTTATGTTGTTTATTTCATGTGTTAAGATAAGAATGGATTTTATTTAAATAATAAAATTGTGGTTTATTCTTTGGACTGCATGCCTAAATTGAGAGGAGGGCTGAATGATGTAAAAGTGATGCAAAAACCAGTAGAGACCAAAGCACTGCTACTTTTGACACTTGGGACAAAGTAATCATTGCCTTAATTTGTGGAAAATAACCAAGGTTCTGATTTGCAATAACAGTTGTTGCGAATTCACGATGTTCTCAGAAGTAAAGATGTTTGTCTCTTTTATGGAAAAAAAATATTGTGAGAGGTTATTCAGGGTGTGATGTCAACACTTCAGCTCTCTAGTCTTACATTTTTCACAAAAACCCCTCAAACACACTTGTCATTCTTTTATTAATTCAGATGGAGAAAAAAAACACACGACAGGGCTGTTTTAAAACCTCAGTTGAGACAAGTGACTTTGGGACTTTTAATCAAAACCTCAACCATGTGAGCTGCCTGTTTATCTGCATCAAACAGGATTTCAAGTGTGCCTTCAAGGCAGAGAATCCACAAAGTTTTGAAATACTTTTATAAGATATCTAATTAAGGGTTTTAGATTGATAAAATCAGTGCATGCATCAAAGTAATATCCTCACTTTAAAATCCCATAAGACAGCATTTAGAAATGAATGAGGAGGCCAAGAAATATGAGGACGTTGTGGCCATGCTGTTGCTGTTGCTATGGTGTTGCTGTGCTATAATTAGAACCAGGAAAAGCTCATTAATCTACAGGCATACATTTAAAACTATATGAAGGGGGACTTTGTGCACACCTACTAATGGGGCATTAATAAAATAATTCATCTGACTGCAGTGATGAGTTTTTGAATTTAACCTCCACAGTATGAAGTCACAGTTATGTCAAAAAACATTTTTCCTCTAAACAATTCTCAAATAATACATTTTGAATATCTCTATTATATCTTTTGGCCGACTGGTGTTTTTCTATTTGCTGAATAACTATTTTCAACAGATTGTACATAACAGAAGACAAAAATAATTACTATTGTATGCTATAATATTTGTCTTTATTTATTCTTTTGTACTGCAGAAAAGACGTGAGCTCCACAGGGGTCTGCTTCAATTTTTATTTGAATCTATCACCAATAACGAGAGCACTCAGAGATGCTGTTTGCAGACAGTTTAATACAGAGCAGAATCTCAGACCCGTGCAGCGTTATGGTCTCAATTTCATTTGTTTTAATTTAATTCAGCACTGAACATGCTGAGATTGAGTGTAAGAAAGCAAAAAACAAAAAAGAAGGTATGATGGTTAAAAAAATGCACGATGAACAAATTTCTTTCAGGTTACTGAAAGAAAATCCATTTTTTATATCACATAATTCATTACATTTTATATTTGGTCTAATTTATTATTCACGTCTGACTCATAAAAAAAAGTTTTTGTCAAGTCACTGCAGCCTGATATAATCATAAACCAGACACCCAGATCATAACTGACTTTACAGACATATGGGCGGCATGAGAGGTGGCGGTCATAATCAGGATTGGAAATAGGTGAACAATCCTCCCACAGAGAAAATGTCTTGAAGTGTTTCCCCACTTCAAGCATCTTTTGCATGTACAGTACTGTATGTGTGCAAACATCTGCATTAAGATTAGGTTGTGATTTCACATTGGTAATGCATAAAATTCAGTCATTTGTTAGAAAAATCACAAGCACATGATGATAAGATTACAGGACATTTTGCATTGTTTAAAACACAAAGATGAAGAGAGACACTTTCAATAATTTCTGTTTATTCTTGTAGAAAAAAAACTTTCATGATTTAAAAAATTCTCTAATTTGCAATGATTGTACAACAAAAATGTATATATAATAAAAAAGATTGAATTAATATTAAGATTTGAAGGTAAAAATTCAGAAAAAATATAAATGATAAAACCCAATGGCCACAGCATCCTTTATGTCCTTAGCTTCTGTTTTACTCCTTTTTGTCATTGACAGCCTTTGAGTATATGAAGTAAATTGGATTTGTTTATTGTTTTTCTGTCCTTTCCTGATGAGCTGTCGACCTAATCAGAATGTTTTTTAATAATTAGATGTACACATTATCAGGAGCGAAGTGTCGGTTGGAGGCAGTTAGTATTCACTGGCGTGCTGAACTGTGATCCTTGATGATCACTGAAAACATCAAGGTTAAAATTTGATTTTGAACATCTTGTGTGCAGTGAATAGTGAAAGGTAGATGTGGCACAACAAACAGTATTATGACGGCATTAAGTTATATAAGTTCGTTTGAAGGACGTATGCGTGACCACTGTGGGGAATAAAAGGAAATGAGAGACAATAGATTTAAACAATATTTATGCATGATGTGCTTACTGGTTTTGGGTAATGCAAACATGTAATGAACACTATAAATGAAAGAAACAAAGGTAATGTAAATTAGTATTTAGATAGGCTACCTGGGGCCTGTTGCAGCTGAATCGACGTGTTTAGGCTCTTCTTTTGGCCATTGTCCACACAGCTGAAAAGTCAAATACACATCACAAAAAAGGCTCTTCACTATTAGACTTGCTACACAAAAAGAGTGAAATTTTACTAACTCTTCACTTTACTAATCCACTCCCTGTAAAAGGTAATTTGCTCATTACTATGTCTAACTGCAAGTTAAATTTATCTGTATAGCAGAACTCAAATTATTATAATATACCCTAACCTATGACATAACCATGTAACAATAAAGTACCGATACAAATGTTTGGCTGCTTTGGCACTCCTGTCGTTACTTGCAGAAAGGAGATGCATCTTACAAACCTAAGTGTGCATCTGCTAATTGTATAAGTTTAATATAAATACAAGTTAAATACATAAATATACACATACAAGAGATACTTAGTCTTACATTGCTCTTCTGTTGATCCACAAGATTGTTGTCTGTTGTAACGGCTCGACAAAAAAAATTTACGCTTCTTTTTGGGCACGCTGCACGAACGGCCTGAACAGGGCTTAGCGCCTTTTCTTCTTCTTCTTCTTTGAAAGATGTTTGCTGTGGGCAAAATAATAGTTTCTGATGAGCATTCATTTAATCTTTGTAAGCCAGTTTATTTGAAGTATTAGTGGGTAAAGCATATGAATTAGTATCAAAATGTGTAACTAAACCAGTTATTACATTTCTGCGCATTGCTCACACATGCTAGTTAAAGTAAAATGTCACTACAAGAATACTTACAAACCAGTACTTCTTTTCCATTGCTCCGAATTTCTGTTAAACTGGGAACCTCTCCTGTGATTTTGCAAAAGTACCATCCACTGCATGTTTCATTAACAACAGATAAAATGTGTGTATTTTCACTGCCTTCAGTGGAACTGTTTGCAAACTTGTTAATTATTTTACTGCACAGATTCCCTGAGTTGCTGAATGAAGGTCCATGTGAGCTAAAATACCAAGACACTCGATATCTCTCATATTTCTTTGTGCTCAAGCAGCAGTGCAAAGTCAGAGATGACCCAGAGGGAACAATCACTCTTGTCTGGGTTTTATCCAGAAATACGTGAGTCTGGCCCGATATCCCCACAGCTGCTGCTACCACTGTAGACAGAAAAAAGAAGAAATGTTATACCTTTTGTTTTTTCTGTTTTAATTTTTTCTTTTATTTGTGTTAGATATCAATTTTGAGTCATAGAGTGGAGTTTTTAGCAGAACAACAGTGCATGGGAATCAGAGGACACAGGTTAAACCGAGTAAAACAGGAAATAATCAAAAAGAACATAAAGACAGACAAGGGAGCATTTGTGTAAGCACAAGCAGTTGAGACAGAAGAAGGAACCAAGAGGAACATGACACAGATAACAACCTCAACGAAGGAACTAAAACTAAATCCAATTCAAGAATTCAGATCTAACACTACAACAGAAACATATGAAACAGGCATCCAAAACTCTATAAAAACCAAAAAACTACAATACAACTAAAGCTTATCAAACTACAGTAACAACAAAATCACATACCAAAATATGGGACCTCAAAAGAGCAACTCATTACTAGGAAACACATGAAGTAAAACATCTAAATCAAAGACTCACAAATACCACAGCAAATCAAATTCACTTTCAGAATAATAAAAAGTTAAAATCTTAAACCAAAATGTCAAAAATTAAAAACTTTGACTAACAGACCCAAACCCTGAAAGTATTCACTAAGAAATCATAAATTTACCTGTGAGCAACACCAGAGCCAACTGATTCAGCCACATTTCCAGTTTATCGTATGAGAGATGATCTTCTATGTCTCAGCTTGTCTCCAATGACTTCCTGTCTAAAAAAATAACAGCTAAAGCTGGTGTGTTAGAGGAAGGGAAGTGTGTATTGTTGTTTTTTTATTACGGCTGCTTCACTGAGACGACTGTCTGTTGTGGAGGAACAAGAGAAGAGGGAAAATAAAGGATTTTTATGAACAGGGAAACTCTGGATGGAGCACAAAATAATGCCCCGAAAAACACTAACATTTGTGTGCTGCTCATTTTAAATGTACACTCTGCATCCTTCAGAAATTGTGTCGACCAAATCAGGAAGTGCAACTGTGTTTTGAAGGGTTTGTGAAACACTTGTTTTGTTACAAGCATACTAAAAAAGTTTTTCATCTTATCTCAACAGTGTGTTACTAAAAAAGTAACACTTGCATTCATATGACACGTTAAAGCATGATGGGTTGACGAACTTGGTCCCGTCTCCAAATGCAACCAATAAAAAAAGCTACTGGAGAGAAAGCAGATGTTACATAACTGTAAGTTTCTTTAAGTGTAGTCTCATGTAGGAGTTATAAGACACCAGAAAGCAGATATGTGTTTGATTTCTGTGATTTGTGGATTCATTTATGCAAAGTATGTAATTCATGATTGTGTCACCATGCTCCAGCTGTAGATTCGCCACCAGATCACTGGAAATGTTATCTTTTAAATTTGTTCTGCAGCTCTGCAGCCTCTTGGGACCATACAGGAATAAAATGATAAACAAACACAAAATACAGTTGTGTCGAACACTGAAAACAACCCCAAAAAAAGAGAGCCGTTCATTGTAAATTGTCTTCCACTAATCCAGTTAAAGATCCCGGTGGGAGCCTGAACCTATCCAAACTGATATTGTTAAAGGCAGGGTACATACTGGACAGTTCCCCAGTCTATCCCAGGGCCAACACACAGGACAGACAACCCTCTACACTCATACCTACAACCAATTTAGAATCACTAATTAACCTAGCAAGCAGGGCAGGAAGCCACGGTACCCATACATACACAGAGAACATGCAAACTACAGATAGAGCGGCACCACACCAAAAACAGCTGGGTCTTTTCTTTTATTCCATCTCCCCATCGACAGCCAATCACAAAGATTTTCTGTTTTCATGTGTCTAATAATATGCTTTGAATTATGAATTGCACTTCACTTCTCCATGTGCAGACTGCCTGACATAGATAAGTCCACAGCTGTGCAATGTCAACAATCTGCAGATCGTGTGTGAGGTGAGGACTCAGGCGTAGACGACACATGGAGATAGGAACTTAATAACAAAAAGCAGCTGGTTTTTTTTAGGTGAAAAACACAAAGGTACAAAAATAAGAAAAACCAAAAGCCAATAACTTATCTAAACTGGGAGAAACTAAACTTAGAGCAACACACAGGTAACAAGGAAAAAAACCAATAGATGGGGAAGACTAACAAACAACCTGACAATGTACGAAAGAAAACTCACACAATAAATGCACATGGGGTGACGAGGGAAGTGGAAACACATGGGGAACATAGCCGTGATGAACAGACCTAATGACACAAGAGGAAACAAAACTGAACACAGGGCAGGAGACTGTCAAAATAAAACAGGAAATACTAAGACACAGACTAATCCATTGGGACTAGACAGGCTGAGGGGACAACGGGAGGAGACACAAGAAACACGGAACACAAGAAAACTCTGAAAACAGCAAGAAAAACTCAGGACTGACTAGTGAAACTTAAATCATCACAATAACACAAAAACACTTGGAAAAAACACAATAAACTCAAAAGTTGGGTCAAACTAATTTAGAGATAAATGCTCTTACTGCATGTATTCCCTGCATTTAAAACAGACCTCACAGTTTTTGATTTTTTTTAAATACAATTTAATACAACAAATGTTAATGAATTAATTATTGCATATAGTTATGGACGTATGCAGATGGACGTATGCAGGTAAAACCTTGGGAAGTATACCTCATGTCACGATGAAACTAAAGAGGTCGTTCATCAGCTTCTGCGGCTAGTTTAAAAGTGTAAAACAAAATAAATGAAAATGTGTTGAGAAAAAAAAAAAAGTTGGGTCAAACACCCAGAACCATGACATGCAACCTGAACTTTTAACTGCCTAATTATAAAACAGTGCAAACTGTTGGATTGTCTCTTGAAGTTCTCTCAGTAAAAAAGATGGTATTTAGTCAATTAGAATTTGATGCCTAAACTATGACTAAAACTAAAAAAGTTTTAAGAAAGTTTGCTGTCAAAATTAACACTGATGAAGCAGCCAATCTACAAACACAATGAACGCTACCAATAACACCACACCACCTTTGATTTACTGAAAGTAGCAATGATGGAGATGTTTTTGATTACATGTGCTTCCCAAAGCTTGACTTTGCATCCAGTCCTTCCCTCACCTACTTGATCCTCACTTACTTTTTGATTGTCTAGTCTTCAAAATGGAAAATTTCATTATTTCTGAGCAGTAATTTGATGAAGAAGCATGACTTTTTTGTGATTTGTGTTTTTTTCTATATTTGAATCAGTTTTTAGCAATACTATAATCAAATAATCATGCTAACCTCTTCATGGTGGATTGCATTCCCACTCATCTGTGTTTACTGACCTTAAAAAAGCAAAGAACAAAGTAAAAATGTTGATTGTTATTGAGGGTTTCAATTCCAATTCCCTCCTCGAATGTGTGAAATTATAAGTATTATATTGCTAAATGAATAAGGGACCACAGTGAGCTCATATACTGACTGTAGCACAGTGACACTTTTCTGAGTTTTCTTTCTTTTTTTTCTTCTTTTTACTTTTATGACATTTACTTTATATGATTTTATAATCACGGGGCTCAAAAACCCTGCAGCACACATTAAGATGACCAGAATAGGGTGAGCCCAGTGTGACTGCACGTAATGGTGACATACTTTATTCCCCAACATTTGAGCCACAAATGAAAATCAGGTCAGTGGTCTGTGAGACACTCTCCAACACAGACAAAAAATGTCCAAGATGATTGCACTAACCTTAAACCAGTATCATTTTTCCAAAAAAGCTGAACAATGAGATGAAACAGCAGCGGTTATGGTATCATACTTTGCACATAATACATAAGAGCTTAAACAAATACAATGTCTCTCAGCATTAATTCAAATTATTTCAGAGGCTATATAAAAAGCAGTTAAATGATACAAAAATTAACTGATGTAAAAATTACAGCATGCAATTAGCAATTAACAGTATAAAATAATCAAATTTAAAATTTTGGTCATTTTTAAAAGGCTAAAGAAAACAGGAAGCTCGTCCGCTTCCATTAGATCACCTTGGATAAGTCGTACATTAGACCTTGCACTTTTTTATATCAACACCTTTCAGTGATGTCTCTTTGCTTAAGTTAATAACAGAACTCGTACTTGTATAGTATGTTTATTAATATAAAATTAATTACTTACCTTTATATTACAGTTCAAATCAGATTGAACCACAGCTCCTGACTCTAACTTGTTGTTAAAAGGGCAGTGTTAAAAAATGCTAAATTCAAAGAAATTTTGTCTTTGTTAATCTTAAAGCCACTGAACATTTATCATTTTAGGTCAGATCAGTGAGAAGTTTCCAACTACCCATAAATCCCAGTGCGTTAGAGGTTTTCTCTAATTGCTTTGCTGAATGACAAAATGAGCCTGTCTACTACTGCTGCCACCAATATAAACATTTTTTTCTGACTTTATCATTAGATATGTGTATCTTCCCACAAAGTTTTTAATTAACCAGATAGAACTAGTTTGTGATATGTCATGTCTGCTGCTTCAGAAGAATGTAATAGAAACCAGCTGTGGAAAGAAGCAGCCCTGCAGTCAATCAGATTACACCTTGCAGAAGAAAAGTGTGGGTAGGTTCAGTGTTTTATTGATTTCACTGACACCAAACAGAGGACTCAGCTTTCAAGTAGGACAGGTTCTTATTTTCTGTGTTTAAAAATAACAGTTGTTGTCTGAAGTGGGATAAAATAAATAAAAAAGAAATCTCAGTCGGCCACACATACGCCTGTGTCTGACAGCACAGCAGTGATGTGACTGGATCTGCCCTTGGGTTCCAAGAGAAACATCGTACTCTAAGAATCTCAGTGATATTTATTAAATATTATTTATTAAAGATGTAACTTGACCAGTAAAACAATGGCTTATAAGATTTCTTTAACATGCTGGGCCATAGGCTGTGAAGGGGAATGATGCATGCTTTTAATAGCTTGTGGTATATATGTAACTTTGGTCATTTGGGTAAATTGATAGATAGTCAGTATACTTATGAATAATTAAGTTTAACCATGTTTGCAACCCCGAGTGCTTTACCAGAGATAATTCAAACATCGAGTGTGTTATGAGTTATTCCTCTCTGTGGGAGAGTTGCACATGTTTTGCAATCTTGAAAGATGCAATAAGAGACGTCGGAGCCATTGCCACATCACTCATTGCATCTTTAACCATGAGAAAATCCATTTTTCTCATGGTTTAACAGTTCCTCAGGACTGCTTTCCTCCTCTCTGCCCTCATACTTCCCTACCCCATCCAGACCGCAGATGTCACTGTTGGGATATTTTGATCAGAGTTTCGAAGCTTCATGAAAACTTTGGACATTTTTCACAGATTCAGCTAAAGAAACTGGAACAAATTATGTTTTTGTGACAGACTGATGAAGATACAATTATTACAGTTATTTGCTGAGTTGTCTTTTATGCGTAGACAAAACACCGCTCCATCCATGAGTTACATGTAGTAAGGGGCATAGAAAAAAACTCCTGGTCCAGCTTTGTTTGGTTTTGATGTTAAGTTACACACCTGTGTTGGTGCTGTATGTACCGCTGCAGAGGCGTCAGTGCAGTGTGCCATCAGTGCTAATAATAACCTGCAATACGATAAATATGAGCTTTTAAAATTACAACCTTAGCTGTACCAAGTGAATTGATGTATGATGATAAACTGTTATTCAATCCAGGATTGAAAGTAAACATACTTGTAAGATCTATGTTAAAATATGTGTTTATGACCATAACTGATGATTAAATAAAATCTAAAAAGAAGTCACAGTTGATGTAAAACACTAGTGTGAATATATATTCAATTATTTATTTCCTGCTGTCCTAGAAAAATATTTTTAGAATT